CACTGACTATACACATTCGCACACGCACATCCATAGCAGCAGCAACAGCAGCTCTTGGCCTGTAAGCGCACGATAATATCGATCGATAAACACTTTTTTTGCACTGTCTCTCTCTCGAATATCAATTCACTTTTCACTGAGTTTTGACTTTTTTCACATCATCTTGGGAGTTGACCTATGAAAATTTTATCTATGCTTCGCCACAATAAAATGCATCAGTTTCATGCATTTTTCACTTAGCATTCATGCGAATCGAAGAAAATTCATGTATGATTCGGTTTACCTGCTCTTCAAATCTCGATAAAATGCAACTGGCCCATTCGCCAGGTTTTTGCGTTGCCATTTTTTTTTATCCACACCCGCACTTTGCACGCACAACAGTTTTTTATGCAATTTTTTTTTTCTCCACTTTCGTTTCGTCGATTGATTCACATTTTCACACGAAATTTAACACGTTGCCATGTGAAGCTGGTAACTTTTCAGCAGCTGGAAATCCAAATTCAATACGAATTTTCCCGTTTTCAATCGTGCGACGGAGTTTCTTTTTTCGTCTTCCTCGATGGTCTGGGTTGTAAGCGCACAGGCGTTTCAGATAGAACTGTGCTATGCGACCTAATACAATATCGGAATTCACAATGAGAGTAAATGTCACAACAACACACATACACCTCTCACAGATGGGAGATTCTTCTCCAAGTTCAGTTGCTGTCGAACATTATAAAAACAATGCTCGGGCCTGTTGACAGCGTGATCGAACACGAAATGCTCAAACATTGCGAATGACAGCTCGAAAAGTCAGGCGTTGTTTTATTTTCTGTTGTTGTTGACAAGTGAGTGACGCTTCAACTGTAAAAAATAATTCATTTGATCTTTTACACTCTCTCGTTAAAATTGTGAATTTCAAATTTATCCAAAGTGAAATAATAGATTGTTTTCAAATTTTTACGATTTCCGTTGTTTACACGAACTTTGAAGAATTGGTTGAGCACAAGGAAAAGAAGTTTGCACCAAAATTTGAGAACCATAAACATTCTGAACAAAAATGGACTATTTAAACTGCTACATCTGCAATTCTGAAACAAAGCTGCACAATAGCGTGCGAATACGGACGAAGACGAAATATTCTGGTATCGGTGTTCACGAGATTATACAGAGTTTTTTGAAGGAATCTCACACGCTGCGATTCAGCCCAAATGACATCGTTTGCGAGCGATGTTTTCAGAAAATCAACCAGTATGATTTGGCGTGTCGAATGGCCGACGAAATTCAACAAGATGTTACAAATGCATTGTACGCCACTGAACAGCAATATATAAGCGAAGAACCAGTAGAATACCTGGAAGATGTACAAAGTGAAAAAAATTCTTGCCAAAAAGATTTCGAAGAGTAAGTTTTTTTGCTTAAGTCAACATTCACACACGGATGGCTGATCGAATTTCTAATTCAGATTTCAGGACCAATATGATATGCAGAATGTACAAGAGAAAGGCAATAATCAAGCGGAGAACATAGAAACAGTGCACATATCGAGCATTGATGACGCAATAGAAGAGGTGCTCGATCCATCAAAAAAGCAAACCAATGACTTCACACCAGCTAAGCGGAAAAGTCACGCCGGCTGTGAGGAGTGTGACATTCCATTCGGTACCAAAAAAGAGCTGAAGGTAAATTAGTGCTACGAAAAATTCGTCAAATTCTTTCAATAGAAAGAAATGTAGTTATGCTTTTTTTTTTGAAAAACTATTTTCCCTTCTTAGCAACATCAACTACGCTATCATACCCCAAAGAAGTGTGGAGTTTGCCAAAAGGTGTTCGACAATCAGTTGGAACTGAGAAATCATGCACGCCAAGATCATGAAATTGAACACTGCTCAAATGATGAGGCTGAATCCAGTCGTGGAGAAGTATCAACCGGCGAAAGCGATAGCAATCTTCGATGCGAAATATGTGGCATCACCGAAAGCACCAATGAGTCATTAGCCAACCATGTCGGTTTACATGAGAATCAGCTGAAATGTGTGGTGTGTAACACGATTTTGAAACATCGAGCCAACCTGGTCTTACACATGCGGATTCATGTAAGCTAAAATGTTATTTTTCTTATCAAATTCGAGAGAAATTCGTAGAAATTCCAATTTTTAATTGGTTTCGTTTAGGCCGACAAGAAATTCTTCAAATGCGATAAATGCGAAAAGACCTTTGTGCACAAATCATCACTTCGGATGCATTTACAAACGACGCACACCGAAGTTCGTAACAAACAGTGCCCAGAATGTCCGTTGAAATTTAAAACAACGTCACAGCTCAACCAGCACCTAGTAACGCACACTGGCATCAAAAGACACCAATGCCCAGAATGTGGCAAAGCATTTGGCCAAAAGTACAATATGACAGCTCATTATAAATCACATTTTTTCAACAAAGTCCAAAGACGCGTGCGAACCCGAACCAAGCCAACTTCCACCGTTCATATGAAAATGGAAATGTAATAACTATTACATATCACCAATAAAATTGATTCGATCCATTAACTAGATTCTGATGTTTTGTGTGCGCATTGGTGAGTGGCGCCATCTGGTGACAAACCGCTCCATCTCCTCAATCACTTTGACATTCAATATGCATTCTTTCTTCGATTCATTGAATTTGTAAACACGTGCATACACTTTTGGAATAATAACTGCGAAATTGGTTGCTTCTTGGTAAATAATTCGTTAAACACTACAAAATGCCGAAGGTGATAGCTGAAAAGAAACACCGAATCCACAATGAAGTACAGAAACAAGGTTTGTAACCTCTCAAATTGGCTAAATTTCTGAAAATAAATTCCAATCTCCGGTTGACGTATTTATCTGTAGGAATTGTATTCAATAAGGATTTCGGTCAGCACATTTTGAAGAATCCTCTGGTTATCACAAGCATGCTGGAGAAGTCAGCCTTGCGACCGACAGATGTTGTGTTGGAAATTGGTCCTGGTACGGGAAACATGACGGTGAAAATTTTGGAAAAAGCGAAAAAAGTGGTTGCCTGTGAAATCGATCCTCGGCTTGTGGCTGAGTTACAGAAGCGTATCCAAGGAACGCCATACCAATCCAAATTGCAAATTCTTATCGGCGATGCGCTCAAGTCAGAGTTTCCATTCTATGACATTTGCATTGCAAACGTACCGTATCAGATCAGTTCACCGCTTGTGTTCAAACTGTTACTGCACCGGCCGATCTTCCGATGTGCCGTACTTATGTTCCAACGAGAATTTGCTCAGCGTCTCGTGGCCAAACCGGGCGATAAGTTCTATTGCCGCTTGAGCATCAATACACAATTGTTGGCTCGTGTCGATATGCTCATGAAAGTTGGCAAAAATAACTTCAAACCACCACCAAAAGTTGAATCGAGCGTTGTGCGTATCGAACCCAGAAATCCACCGCCAGCAATCAACTTCACCGAATGGGATGGCCTCACTCGGATCGCCTTCTTGCGCAAAAACAAAACACTGGCCGCTTCGTTCAAACAGTCTTCGGTTTTACAAATGCTTGAAAATAACTACAAACTGCAAGCTTCGCTGCAAAATCAGGTAAGTTCTACTTCGTTAGACTCATCGTTTCGAAAGTAGCCAGTTTTGTTTGTATGAGTCATTTGTTTGATGCCATTTTCATGAATGGATAATAATAACGACGCCTTTTTTTCGATGTTCACAGGAAATCAGTCCCGATTTTGACATCAAACAACTAGTCGAAAGTGTAGAGGCTGAAGCCAGCGAAAAACGTGCCCGCACAATGGATTTGGACGATTTCATGAATTTATTGTACTGTTTCAATAAGCATGGCATTCATTTTAGTTAGATATTATATTACATGAATAAATCAACGTTTATTGTTACACTCAAAATAACACTTAACTTTGTTTCATGTCCACAAAGAATCATGATTGTGTATTTGCATATCAAATACTTTGCCCAAAATCGTAATCTCCCTGAAAACCAGTAAAAAAAATGAAAGAAAAATGCGAATGTCGTACCTTTGTTCATTTTCTATGTTATTTATTATTATGTTATTGTTGTGAACGATTCTATAATAATAATGTACATGAAGAAGCTTCATGAATTAAGGCATAACTCTGGGAAACAACGAATAAAAAAATTATGTTCTTAAAAAAATGTCGTGGTCGTCGTGAGGGCGAACTGCGAGTGTTGTTGTCCGCACGGTATACGATGAACGATGTAACATTTGATATTTTGATAAGAGTTGAGTGTTTGTTTGTGTTGATGAGAGCAAAGGGGAGTGTGTGTGTGTGTATGTGTGCAATTTAAAAATGAAACGAAGACACTTAGAAACCATGCACTTTCAGTTGATCTGACTTGGCTAAACCAGCTTTAGTGAGCCATTGGCAAATGTTTTCACGTTGATCACCTTGTAATTGCAACACTTCACCATACTCCGGATGCTCGATTACTGTGCCATTGCATGCAAATATATATGCTTACAAATCTGGATTTTAGCTATTGATTCATAGTATGCTGAGAAAATGAATGTCTGAAAAAAGCAAAAACAACCAAAGCAAAGCGAACCCAGATACTCATACACGACACACTCACACACAACATGCAAAAAAAAGCAGCGGCGAAATGAAGCGTGTATGTATTTATGCATTTCCATACCTTCCCGTTTTAATGATGAATATTTTCAATTTTCTATTCAAATTTATGATTGTATAAAATAAAAACAATGGTCATGTTCAAGAATTGATTTTGATTTTATTCAGTCGTTTGTTTTCTCCAACTATATGAAATGCTAAATTCGTCGTTAATTTTTTTTAATTGCCTTTATTTTTTGGTACACGGGTTGAATGAGATCCAGTAGAAACTGTGCAATAGCCCTATAAAAGAATGCATAAATTATTGCTTTGTATTGACTACGTCAGACTACATTGTTTTTAATTCAATTAAATTATCACAGTTTTTCTACAATAATTTACGGAATGAAAGGAAAAAATGAGATTTGAAAAAATCGCTCAAAGATGAATGTTTTAACTCATCAAAAAATTGATTGAAAAATATTAACCGAAAAATAAGGATATAAAAGAGCAAACACATTGATTTATATACACTTTGTACCGATCAAAACGAGATAAAATTGTTTGTGGAGTCACAGTTCGAATGTTAGCACCGAATCGTCTTTCGAACTCGTTCAAAACAGCATCATTTCTGTAAAAAATCAATGAAATATATTATTAAAACTTAATTGTGAGAGAGAAATTGATAATATTTCCCAAGCGTGC